ATATATATATATATTACAAACCTTGTCAGCTTATTTGCATCTGAATGTGAACACAGAACACTTACATAAAAGGCTTTCTTTGTTTAGCACTGCAGACCTGCACAAAGAAGCCTGTCTTTGCATGTGCTGCAGAAGCACTGGTATAGAGACTGGCTCTGCATTTTGCCTTGCAGAGACTGACCTTCTCCATCAGAACAACAGGCAACAGTCACTAGGCTCTGGACACCAGCAAGGAAGGGTGTCTTCACTTGAAGACATAAGTCTTCAATAGGCTTCATAAGTCTTCATAAGGCTTCCTCACTTGATGAGGTTTTCACCGTGTGCTCCCTTCCTTACTGTAGAAAGCCTTTGCTGATTTTGTACAACGTTTTATTCTGCAAACAAAGCATGCTGACATACAAACCAGGGCATTTGTTTCTGAATGAATGAGCAACAACCTGGTTTTGACATTCAACCATGTACTATCTACAATGAACTATTATTGACTCTTCAAATTAAAGCAGCACCTTCAAGTACTGACCAACGACAAAGCATTTAGCATGTCAAGCTCTCAGGACAAGTCATTACTTCCCAAAGTTTTCAACCTATATAGGCAAGATAAAGGAGAGAAAATGCAGTTCTTGCCCTTTCAAAGGTGAAGATCAGATGCAGATATGAATCACAAGATGAGGACCAGGAGCAAACCAAAGTACACCCTTCCTTCCTCCTTATCACCCCAAATCATTCTTTGCATTTCGAAGAGCATGTTTATGTTACAGATGTGAAAAAGTGAACAGCATTTCAAATAACCAAGTCACATTTATTTCTTACAGAATTTGTTGGATTCCTCTGAAAAGAACTGCAGCAACAGCACACACAGTCAGCGTACGCTCGGCACAGTAACCCCAGTGGCACAGGCCCACATACTAGCTGTGATTAGGCAAGGAACAGAATTATTTAGAGGGTACAACTACTGAAGTAAGGTAACATGTTTATTAGGTACACAGATCTTGGAGGAAGTAGAAAACTCAGCCAGAACTTAAAAAAAAAAAATCAGCATAAGAAGCTGCTCAGTGCATATAACATTTTCTTTGGTATCTAGAAAATGGCATCAAGGAGAGTCAATAAATACAAACTTAGATAAGTAGAGAGTGCAAGAGGTCCAGCACAGAACAGTACATTGCCATGAAGAACCACAACTAACAGATGGATCAAAAAAGCCACTTTACAATAAAAGTCTAAATTCTGCATTTTTTGCAGAGGACCAATTTGATTATTCTTGCAGATTCTTTCAGCATCTGTACTGCAGTTGTTATAATCACTTCATAGTCACATCACATCACTTTCATAGTCAGTTCAAGTTTCTCATCTGTTGACTAGAAAAAGGAAATGCCTTTGAAAACTAGGCCATGAACTGTAATTGCTGTAAAACAGAGAGGAAAAACCCCTTGCAGTCCACATTACCACCTTCATTCCTTCCCCTTCGCGTGGAAGCTGATACATCATCAGAGAATCTCCCTCTCCTATTTCCTAAGAGTGTTTCCCTATTTTATAGTTGTGTAAGGCTTCTTCCCTGGCAAGCCTGCTTTAGAAATTAAACCCTCTTAGCAACAGTAGGTCTCATTAAAAGGTGTATTTACCACACAGTAGTATTCTCTATATTTAGCACTTGAAATACATCAAATACCACAGCAAATTTAGCTACTGTGGGTGGTAAACATCCAGTTTAATGGCATCCACTGTATTTGTGTGAAAGCCAGTTTTATAAATAGCTTCCAAAATTCTGCTCAACATAGGCAGCTAATAATACCCGAAGATAATTTATACTTTTTCATTTCTCCTCTCAAGACAAGTGTTGGGCCTACCTTCTCTGCAAAGCACTCACCCAGAACGAGCTCTGTGGGCACGCTCCGACCGGCAACTCAGCTGGGCTGTGAAACACATGGGAGAACTAACCTGAAACTCTCAGGAGCATTCTGGTCTGCCTTTTAGGCTGGAGAACTTGTAAAAACTTTCTGTTTAGATTTGGATGTCTTCCTATTCAAAGGCAGCTGGAAACACAGGAGCTATGTCAGATCAAACTGTCCTCAGCAGCTACAACTGACTTATGCCCTTTGACAAGAACTCTTCTCTTGTTTCCCAAAGCTCTTAAAAGTTTTTCTTCCCTAAGCAGTGGCTTCAAACACTTGAGGTTTCATTTGCAAGTTAATGATAATTCATGTGGATCTTTATCCCTGTTGATCTATAATAAACTGATGTCTGGCACAGATGATAATTCCTCAGAAATACTGCTCCTTTCACAGTTTAATCGAGATATAGCTAGTTCAGAAGGGTCTCATTTTTTTTCCCATTTGACAGCCTTCTAAATTATCTCTTTTTTTTTTTAAATCCTAATCTTCTGTTTAAAATGTGTATATGCATGTTCACTGACATTTCTCTGTGAAAGTATAAACTGGGTTTTCTGAGATGCTGGGAGCTCACAACTCTAGAAGTTGGCAGGTATAACATGCTCACCATGATGTAAAGCTACAATAATAAAAGGGGCCCTATGTCACCACCTTTTCAGTGCATTTCCTCAGACTGAGTTTATATACCAATGAGAAACAATTAAGCAGTTGGTTTCTTCCTCAAAGACTTTTCAGAAGAGCAAGAAAAAGTCATTCTTTCTTCAGTGGCATTGCACCAGGCCAAAAGGTTCGCCATTCTGTAAGAAAGTCAATTCCTGTGAAAAGGACCCATGAAACATTTTTTAAAATGTCACAGTTTTCTGTGCATACTCATTCCTTTTAGTCTTAGACAAAATTTCTTCTGCACTTTCCTGCTATGGCGTTAGTCGCGGGCAATCTTCTTGTAGCACCTGAGCTACATGATCCGAGATGTCCATGCATGTCCGTGACTATCGTTTCAGGTGTGCTGAGTCCACGGGGGGGTTTGACAAAGAGCCATGGAGTGTCCTGCCCCACATCCAATTAAGATCTGTTTTGCATATCCAAGAGCTTTGACTGGCTTTGGGCTATGAACATTCGCTTCTGTGCCATCACCACACATCCCATGTTCATTCCATCCCCAAGAGAAGCACTGGTCACCTAAAAGAATGGATACAAAACAGAGAATAAAGACCAAGAAGCATAACAGCTTTGGTTAATTTTTGGGGAGCAGATTTGTCAAGTCATCTTTTATTTAGGTTCTAAGAAATTCTAAGGTGGGGAAACATGTTCTGGTTCTCTTGAAAATGCAAAGAAACCCAAATGAATTACTCTCTACCTTGTTCTGTATTGTTAACACAAGAGAGACTAAAATAAGAAAGACATTTGAAAATCACTTAGTAAATACATGGTTCAGTATTTATACAGAGTCCACAGAAATCCCTCTCCATTTTAAGGCCCTTCCCTGAAATGAGGTGGAATCCCAGTCTTTTCGGGTTGCCATAGTAAGCAAAACTATCACAGACCACGTCCAGTGACTTCAATCATTCACAGCGTGATCTGTAGCACTGGGGAACACAGAGCCACAGGGCAGCCAAATTACATTTCATTCCTACTTTCAAGTTCATGTCTCACCTTTTCCCTTCAAATACAGGTCTCCAACAACCTGCCTTCTCTTAATCATCTTACCTCTTCTGCTCACTTTGACATCATTTCACTGCTTTTATGATCCTTATTTTCCCTCTATTATTTACTTTCATAACATCTACTCTCTTAAATCCCAAACCACGATCCATGTATTATTATCACCCCATAGTACTCTTTCTTGAAGCACAATGTGTAAATTTTGTTCTATAAAAGGCTGGCATAATAAAAAAATTCACAAAATCCCCCTCTTATTCTAAACCACAAGACATATTTCTTCCCTATTTTCTCTTCTTTATTTGGCTATCACAGACTGTGCCTGTGAATTTCTGTAATAAAAAAAGAAAGCCATCCTGCAATATAATCATGTTTCTGATGCCGTTGTTATTTTTGAAAAGCAGAAGATATTAAACAGCATGAAGGACCAATCTGGAGTCCAAATAATGAGAAGTGCCAAAAGTTACAAAATCCAATCCAAATCATGGTTCTAAAACAATTTTACATTTCTAAATTCAGAAACAGATTATTGCAAAGCTAGCAGGACCTGCAAATACAGTAACATTTCATTGTTGTCTGCTTTCTTTACTTTCATATTAGTATATTGAAGTTCTGCTCTTCTGTAATTAGTGTAAACATTATACTGAAGATGTAATTAAACAATGATCTTTCATTTTCTTGATAATCTTTAAGGCAAGAGAACACAACAAAACACTGCTAGAATGTCACAGTAGGCTAGATACATCTCACCCAGTAGGGCAGTTCCACTGTTCTTAGCTTAGAAGGGACCAGATTTTCTCATGTCTATGCACACACAATATTGACAACCACACCTATATCACAAACATGTGTTGCAGAAAATTACCAAAAAGTAAATGTGTAACATACCCCATTTAAATATCAGATAAAAACACCTTAATTGAAAATAATTGCAATTTTTTTTCTAAGTTTCCAGGTGAAAATATTTATTATATGTAAATATTAACAAAGTAGGAAAAAGACATCACAAACTGAGACTAAAAACACATCATGGAACAATTGTTCAGAGAGAAAAAAAAAAAGAAGAAAGAAACACAGCTGCCCCTCAGGAAAGGCACCATTTGCCTTCCACAGTTAGTATGTGGAACCTGCAGAATAAGTCTACTCAGAGGAGGAAAGCTTCCAAGTTTAATGAGAAGGGCATATAACATGCCCTTACATTAATAAGATGTCTGTGGTAAGCTTTTTGTTACTAGACCACTAGCAACAAGCACAATTTACACATTTCTGTAGAAACTCATCTCATCTGACTTTTATTTCATCCTGTCCCATCAGGACAGGAGAAACAAAACCAGGAAGTTTTTGGTCACTCTGAATTACAATTTGCTCAATGGAACATTAATGGCATACTTAATACTCAAAGAAACGACGCAGTAGGATATTAACCTCTCAAACTGATAAATACCTCTAGCCAAACATCTTTTGAAAAAACATCACTGAAAAATTTACAAGCTAAGAAACCCCCAGACAAGAACATCTCCCCTAAAATAGGGATCACAGAATCTTTTTCTTTTGCCAGTTTTCACTCGCAGCCCATTTCGATTACCTTAGAGCTCACGGCAGTTCTGTGGGAAGATCTATTTTCTGACCTTTCCACATGCTTGAAGAAGTAAAAGCTGGAGAATAGAAAGCAGCTAAGATTTATGAATGGTCTTATACAAAAATGCCTTGTACATCTATGGAGAGCCAGGCTGAAATCCTGGGGGATGAAAGGGCAGCTGACAGAGTTGGAGTGACAGGCCCCAACACCACCACTCACCACCACCAAGTCAGAAGTCAAGAAAGCTACAAGGCAGAGAATTACTATTGTGAAAACAACATCTGCCTGTACAAGATTTAGAGAAAGGTTTGTACGTAAAAAAAAAGCCAGATGCTAGATTTGTGTCAGAAAACAGAGCTTGCAGAAAGCCACAGAGTCCATGTTTCTGTAATGACATATTAACCAAACTTGGGGCAGGGCTGGGCAAAATGCCTGTGGCCAAAGTGGCCAGGAGGGAACCAGCAGCTGTGAGAGCCACTGGCGCAGAAGCAGAAGTCAATGAAGATCAAAGATAATGAAGCACCTATTAAAAAAAAAAAAAGACATAGAAGGAATATGTGCAGAGTTAAGGAAAAGCCTTCATTAAAGGGAACTAATGGCTAGCCTCTGGACAAAGGGCTCCATTGCATTTCAATTCTTTTTCTCTCCCCTATATTCCGCACCTCCCTTTTTTTCCCCTTGTTTTCTTTTCGATTGCCTCTATTCACAGTTTATTGCTGATAAAAACCTCAGCACAGCCCCAGCAGCCCTACGTGCTTTCACGAGAAAATTCAATTTTCATGCCTGGGCCAGACCTTCCCAGGATGAGAGACCATTAGAATGATGTGTATTAATACAGCTACAAATTGTTTCTAACTAAATTTAAAACAAGCATTGTAGCATGTTCTCAAACAAAATGATTTATGTTGGTGAGGTGAGGAGGGAAAGATGCCCCATGCCACTGGTTAAATCAAACAGTATAATACATTGCATTCACCTTTTCCCTTTTAAAACATAAATACTCAAAGTAGAAATGAAACCATGGAACTCACGTGGCAACGCAGCATAATCCCAAGGGCATTTCACCTGAGTTCACAGTCACACTAAGGAGTATAGAGTAAGACTAAGAAGGGTTTTTTCTTCCCAAACTTTAAATACAGAAAAAATGGGTGGAAAAAAAAAATCTGCATAGTCTTACTCTAGACTTTCCTTAGTGTGACTGTGAATTCAAGTGAAACTCCTGTGTGGTCCCACAAACCAAGAAGGGGCTAGTGCCCTCCTTCTGTTTGCAATAATTACCTAGGCTTTTTTCAAGGTAACTGAACTGACAACTGCAATCCACAGGCTGACTAAACTGAAGAAGAGTACTTTAAGTAAAATAAAGCTGCAGCATACTGGACAGAGGACAGGATTCTGGGGAAAGTAGAGGATTTAGAGTCTCTCCTCATTCCTGTGTAGTCTTCTTCAGATGAGAAGAATCAATGTTAGCAAATAAGGTGCTCTGGGTGAGATTCACTGCACTCAACTTCAGACAGCACCACGAAACTTCACTATAGCTTGTTATCCTTTGGTTTTCCTCAAGAGCCAATGGAGTTGTATTTCCATCTCTCCAACAGGCAATTCCTTTTATCCAACACTGATGTCAAAATCAAATCTATCTCACTCTGGTGACTATGGAGGTAGATGAAGGGATTGTGTTAGCCTAGGCAGGTCAATTTTAAAAAGCTGAAGACAGGTTATGATAAATCACATCCTCACAGGTAAAGCAAGGAAAACTGGAAACAAGGCAGCTACAAGTATCACTGCAGCTTAATTTCAGCCTACAAACAGTTTGCTTCTGAACCATCCGGTGCCCTGGAGGTGGCTTATCACTGAAATCCTTAAAAGTCTGTGTCTTTTCTGCTTCTCCTGTCCCACTCTTCCAACCACACAAACAAGCAGAAGTTGGCTTTAAAGACAAGCCAAGTATCTCGAAGCCAAACTATTCAGACACGTTTTAAGGATCCATTAAAATGCTTTAGTACAGCTCTGCTGTATAGGCTCTGTGCTCCTAACAATAGCCCACAATAACACAAATTATTACTATTTTTTTAAACCTTAAATTACTGCTATCTTACAGATGGTTATAAAGTTACAGTAGGCAAGAGATCAGCTCAAGGCAAGTCTAATGACTTCAAACAGCATCTGGGCTGGACCACAAACAAAATTCAGGTGTCTTGGTCATCCTCCCTGGACTCTTATGAAAGCATTCAAAACCTCCCAAGAAACTACGTAACATCAAACAGAGAAAGATTTAGACTGTAGTTCTCCCAAGGAGCTGTAAAACACAAGCGAATTAAGTCTTCCTATTTTTTCAGGACATGTGGCAATCCAGGGTGTCATGTAAAATGGAAGAAACATCCCTATAAACTTCTGTATTTTTGTCGGCAAAAATTCTGTCATTAGCACTAAAGTTTCACATTTTTAGAATATACAAAACAGGGTTGATACAAATTATTTTCTGCAGAGAAACATAGAAACGTGTAAGAAATTAAAAGGGAAGTGTATTATGGAGCTACATTTACACCCAGATTTTCAAGTAGCAAGCTGTCGTGTGCTCCAGGCAGCCCATCCAGCTGCTGCTGGAGTTGCTCAGGACCAGAGCCCTCAGAAATGCATGTCTGACTTCCCAGTACGCTGGATAAAAATCACAGGCACTGCAGTGCTAACACAACACACAGAGAGGAAACAACATGCATTTTTTATATTCAGTACAAAGTCACAGTGCTAAAGACATGCTGGTTTCAAAGTCAGCCTCCAGTCAACAATCTGTCCTCACTTCACCTTTACATCATTAGTAGCTCTCTCCAGGCAGTGGACCCAGACCAGCTCAGTCCTCTCCTCAGCAGTGGTTTTACACAAGTGAAAAATCAGAGAACTTCAGGTCATGCATCTGTGGTTCACCCTAGTACCTGGAAAGAAC